GTCAGATATTTTGCCCAAAAGTGCTAAAGATTTTTTGTGTAAAATAAGTCTAGAATTCCAAGTCTGCACAAAAACTGTCCAATTTTCAGACATTTTTTGCAAGTGAACAACCTTAATATGTTTACTTATTGTTTCCTTCAAAAATGGAATTGGTAAAGCATTCTGTAGCTAATGAGCACCACTCAGAAGGAGACTCTTGCAAAGGGTCTTTCACTTCTTCTCTTGCTCGCCACAACTTGGACAAATTACCTTGTAATGTGGGAAGATTGTGGCAGTCACTCTGTAACCTGAAGTTCAATTTGCGCTAAAGAAATGAGTGGGTTTATCGATCCCACATCTCTGGTGGAAAAAAATGATTATGAAGAAGGCCTTTCCTTAAAAGATCTAACAGGAATTTAAGGAAATTGGAGAAGCTGAGTAGAGAGTTCTCAGAAATTCAAGTCGAGTATGTTCTTTACTCCCATTAGACTAGGATGAGGGCCTTGTTTTCTTCAGTTCTGTTTATGAATATTCAGACAAGGGTGTTTGCTTTTAAGCTTATATAATTTGAATGCTTGCAATGTCTCTGCATGATATTTGATGGCCACCTCTAGCCTGCCACTGAAGACACCAAGAAGATGACTATAAAACCCTTGAGACTTGATAAATGTTAGCCATTGTCCAGTTCTTTGCTGTTAAACCAGCAGGTGGATTTCAGGGGAGAATCCAAAAGACTTAGGAGTCTACTTGCATTTACTTTTGTAAGACATCCTTAATACTAGGCATGTAATATATATTTGCTGATGCAAACTATAGTTTCTTTGAGTTGCATTAGATAATTAAATTTATTGGCTTTTCATTTGCCCCAGAGAATAAGGAAAGAAAGCAGGCAAGGGGGATTTGCAAAAATTGGTTCATTTCCCCTTGAGACCATGGATGACTAGCAAGGGGATATGTTGGTAGATATTCTCGTAAAGATTTTGATGGACTTGGCATGGGTAGTGTTGAATCCATCCCACAAAGGAGCTGGGGCTGTACATTCAAGATCATATCACAGATTTAATAATGTTTTCATGTCAGGAATAACTTCAGAAACTTCAAGCAGTTTATGGCACATAACATAGTAAAAAAAAATCAGGCAAACAAAAATAAACTCCAGTAACTATACATTAAAATAGCAATTTTTATGAAACTCTCAGAATTTCAGTTAAAACATTAAAAAAACAGAACATTTCAGAAATAGTAATTAACAAACTGAACATGGTAATCAGCCAGGGATAGCTATTTAATAGATATTCAAAGTTGGCAACAGAGGGAGGCCATTCCTTATGTTGAATAGCATCATAGAGGAGACATATTGTCATTGTTGATGTTAGTGAATGCCTTCAAATCATATCTAACCTATTGCAACCTTATCATGGGGTTTTCTTGATTTGCCTTTGCTGGCCTCTGCTGCTGAGAGAATGTGACCTTCTCAAGGTCATCTCTTGGATTTCCATGGCTAAGCAGGAACTGAAACATTGGTCTCTAGAATCATGATCCAGTGCTCAAATGCTAGCTCTCAGAGAAGACCTGATAGCACCATTGGCAGGTTGAAATATAATCATCAAGGCCTCCTCTGAATGTCTTTGTGAACATATAGAGCAACATGTGGGAAGATGCCATCTTATTTTATGCAATGTGTAACCTTTTCCATTTTCTATGTGTAATCTGAAAAGTTGTTCTTTAATAAATGAATTTGTGGCATATATAAGAGCCCTATGCATCGGATATATTGTTGACAACGCAAACAGTTATTTTCAAAAAAGCACTTGCAGCCTATTGAGTGGAAAATTGTGTCATATGAATCTGACTCATTCTTGCAGCTTTAAAATAAAGCAGCATTTATAAAACCACAATTATATCACCTTCATAAGAAGAAATTTATGAATAGGTAGCACAATGTGAACAAAGATTTAGGAGTTTTACTCCACATGTGTACAATAACGTTCATTAGTATTTTACTTGCTTTATCCTTATCTGCAGCATGTGGACAAAAGCAACTTCTTGCTTTTTTGTACTTGCCAGTCATTTCCAACTTATGACAACCACAAGGAGAACTTCTCCATTTGCCTTTTCCTGAGGCTGAGTGAGTTTGACTTGCCCAAGGTCACTCAGTAGGGATTGAAACCCTTGACTCCAGAATTGTAGTTCAACAATCAAACCACCATTGAACAGAACAAGAAAAAATTGATGAGCAAGAGAAGTGTGCTCATGCCTTCAATTTTAATTGGGAATGGGATATTTTCAGAGAGCACCTTCTACTGAACATTAAGCTGTCAATATTTTTCACAGAAATTGAAATGGGTGTAACAAGCAATACATTGCCGCCCCCCCTCTCTTAATTAGAGGCAGCTTCCTGTTTCTAAACTGGTAGGAACTTCTATACTTTGTGGAAGGATGAGAAGTTTCTGGGATCATGTGGAAAATTGTTTTTTTTTCCTTTGCAAAGATGTCACTGAGAATGTTTTTCATTTCATAAATGAGTTTATTTACAAACATACATGTTAAGCCTAGCTGTACTACATCATCACAGCTTAAGCATGTCTAGGAACAGCTAAAGCCTACTGCTGCCATATCAGATCTCAGGAAAGTGGCAGGTGGCATCCCTAAGGTGTTTACATAGGCAAAGTCACTGGTGGCACAATGGATTGAACCCTTGTGCCAGCAGGACTGAAGATCAACAGGTTGGAGGTTTGAATCCAAGGAGAGGGCAGATTAGCTCCCTCTGTTAGCTCCAGTTCCTCATGTGGGGACATGAGAGAAGCCTCCCACAAGGATGATAAAACATCAAAACATCCAGGCATCCACTGAGCAATGTCCTTGCAGATGGCCAATTCTCTCACACCAGAAGAGACTCACAGTTTCTCAAGTTGCTCCTGAGACTCAAAAAAATAATAATCCTAAATTGTTTACATAGGCAAAGTCAGAGCACTTGCTCTGTGTTAGTATGTAACACTAAACTTTTCAGTCATGTTAATGTCAATTGATAATGTCTTTTATTTGATAGCTTGCTCCATTCTCTCCTAACAGGGAGAATAAAAAATAATCATCACTTCCAACAATCTCTTATTTGACAGTTGGGCCATTTTAACTCCCATGTAGATTATCATTGCCATGAGCCATCAGCGCTGTTCTAGCAAGTACAAAGCGCTGGTCAGACATTGCCTTAGGGCAACCTGTGGTATGATAACAGTATTCACAGAAATATGATAAGAAATGCATTGACACTGCTAGCTAATTCACATAATAGAATGAAACTTGTGAAATATTTTGTGATTGCAATGAAAGGTTGCTACAACAGTTCTATTTTAACATGATATAATTATTAATCTACTATCGTAAAGGTTTAGTTTCTGTTTCATTGGATTGGGGCATGCACCTTCCTGAAGGAAAGGGGCTTTAATTTATTGACTCATATACATTTTACCCTCCTATCATAGAGAGAGGGTGTGGGCAAGCAAAACAACAGTGAAGTGTCATTATTCTTATTTTGGGAGCTTACTTACTTACTTAATTAGGCGATCCCTCGTAGTCCGAGGATGATGGTCCTCCAAGAGTGGTAACCTGGGGGTGGATCCGTACGTGGCTGTGGAGCCCTATTCTTGATCTGCATCTTCTCCTGCAGTGAGTGCATCAATTTCCAGGTGGGAGGCAGTCCCGGTCGGAGTTGGCTTGATGCGCCTTCCTCTTGGCACGTTTCTCTCTTTCGCCCTCCATTCATGCCTCTTCAAATTCTGCAGCACTGCTGGTCACAGCTGACCGCCAACTGGAGCGCTCAAGGGCATTCTCAGTGTCTATGCCAGAGTTTTTAAGGTTGACTTTGAGCCCATCTTTAAATCTCTTTTCTTGACCTCCAACATTCCATTTTCCATTCTTGAGTTTGGAGTAGAGCAACTGCTTTGGGAGATAGTGGTTGGGCATCTTGTCAACATGGCCAGTCCAGCGGAGTTGATGGCGGAGGACCATTGCTTCAGTGCTGGAGGTCTTTGCTTCTTCCAGCACGCTGACATTTGCTTCTTCCAGCACGCTTGTCTTCCCAGGAGATTTGCAGGATTTTCCGGAGCAGCGCTGATGGAATCGTTCCAGGAGCTGCATGTGACGTCTCTAGACTGTCCATGTCTCGCAGGCGTGTAGCAGGGTTGGGTGGACAATAGCTTTATAAACAAGCACCTTGGTATCCCTATGGATGTCCCGGTCCTCAAACACTCTCTGCTTCATTTGGAAAAATGCTGCACTTGCAGAGCTCAGGTGGTGTTGAATTTCGATGTCAATGTTGACTTTGGTGGAGAGGTGGCTGCCAAGGTAGCGAAAATGGTCAACATTTTCTAATGTTACACCATTAAGCTGTATCTCTGGCATTGGAGAGGGAGCCCCCGTTGGTGCAATGGGTTAAACCCTTGTGCCAGCAGGACTGCTGACTGACAGGTTGGCGGTTCGAGTCCGGGAAGCGGGGTGAGCTCCCACCACAGCTCTAGCTTCCCATGCAGGGACATTAGAGAAGCCTCCCACAAGATGGTAAAACATCAAACATCTGGACATTCCCTGGGCAATGTCCTTGCAGACAGCCAATTCTCTCACACCAGAAGAGACTTGCAGTCTCTCATGACATGAAAAAGAAAATCTTATATTTATGGATTAGTTAAACCATGCTTCAGATCATACAGGGAACCTTTTCACATTGGTTTTTTCTACTGCAAAAGCCAAACATTTTCTGGAATGTCCTGAAAGATAAATGTTTTCCAGTGAAAGTAAATAATTTGCTCAGCACTCCCCAGTCTTTTAAGAAACTTGCCCTTCACTGACATTATCATTGATTGGATTCACCTGATTAGCTTTTAAGGAACCTCTTGATTCTCAAGCTTAAACAACATTGACCTTCAGGATTCGACATGATTTCTCCAATTCATCTCAACCAAAGAGAGCTCAATTGCATGTTCCTGATATTGATTAGTGTCTATTATTTTTCATTTCTCCTTTAGATTTTCCACATGACATATGACTTAGCAAGTGCCGTGGTAAGAATCTTCAACTTGATTGGAATGATGCTGCTTCTTTGCCACTGGGATGGTTGCCTTCAATTCTTAGTACCATTGCTGCAGGATTTTCCACAAGATTGCTGGGTGTCCCTAAATGGTATGGTTGTAAGTATTGTTCATTTTTCATTGTGTTTCTTTCAAATGTTCTTTCTTAAAAATGTTAAGACTCCTGTTAGTTCAAAATTGTAAAAAAAAAATGTCTTATGAGAGTATTGTTATAGTAAACAGTGGGTCACTAAATTGATTTTGAAGGATGTCTTGCAGCTGAGAAGCAAAACATCCAGTGGGATCTGTAACAAAGATTCCAGGGAGACTTTGACCTTACATGACCACCAGTGGTGAAGATTCCCCTCTGCTTCCTCTGAACTAGAAAGAGCACAGAGGAATCAGCTAGACTGGGAACTATTTCACTGTATTTTGATTCCTCTTTCCACCCCCATCCATCTGGTTTCTGTTCCCCCAGTTCTCTTCTCTCTCTGCTTACTCTACTGTTAATTTTCCTTTACTCTCCCTTTGCAGCAAGTCTGGCCATTCTTCATCTTTCTTTTCTCCTTCCTTGATCCCTCTCTGACTTTGCCACTTCATCTGCATCTCTAACTTTCTTCTGCTTCCCTCATTTTCTGTGACCATCTCCTTCTGTTTCCTATCCTTCATATGACAAAGTTAAATCTTTTTGGCTTTTGAAACTTTCAATATTGGAAGGATTGGTGTCTGTGTTCTTTATGAGATGAGCCCAGTTCCGGAAGGAAGTTAACTGGGTTTTTTTTAGCAGTGTAGTACATATACACTTTACAGAGCTTGAGGTCAGATTTATGTATTTAGGCAAGACATAGGTGGATTGGAAGAAGGGTTTCTTCTAATGCCATTGCTAAAATGGATTATTTAATTACAGTGCACAATGGGAGATTAAGACAAAAAAGGGAGTACAGTGTTCCCTCACTATTTCGTGGTTTGCTTATTGTAGACTTGCTGTTTTGTGTTTTGTTTTGCTCCCTCCCTTAGACTAGGGGGAGGGGGAGCCAGGCACTGGGCCTTGCCCTGGGGCTTGTCTCCAGGCTCATTGGTGGTGTCCTCCTCCTCCTCGCCGCCTCTGTTGCTCCCCATTCCTTCCTCGGAGGCCTCAGCCCAGCCTGGCAGCACCATCAATGGCACCCAAGGGGCCTTCAAGGCTGGGAGCAGCAAAGGCGGCGAGGAGGAGGCTCCACCCACTTAGCGGTGGCCTCCTCCTCCTCACCGCCTCTGCAGCTTTCAGCCATGGAAGCCCCTTGGGCTCCATTGATGGTACTGACAGGCTGGCCTGAGGCCTCAGACCAGGCCTCAACCCAGCCTGGCAGTGCCATCAACGGCACCCAAGGTGCCTCTGAGACTGGAAGCATCAGAGGCAACGAGGAGGAAGCAACCGCTGAGTGGGTGGAGTGTCCCTACTTTGCAGATTTTCACTTATTGCAGGTGGTCCTAGATAAGTCATAGAATCATAGAATCAAAGAGTTGGAAGAGACCTCATGGGCCATCCAGTCCAACCCCCTGCCAAGAAGCAGGAATATTGCATTCAAATCACCCCTGACAGATGGCCATCCAGCCTCTGTTTAAAAGCTTCCAAAGAAGGAGCTTCCACCACACTCCGGAACAGAGAGTTCCACTGCTGAACAGCTCTCACAGTCAGGAAGTTCTTCCTCATGTTCAGATGGAAAGTGAGGGAACACTGTATTTTGATCTTCTTCACCTAGGGAAGAGTGAACAAAGTGATAGCAATATTTAAGTATCTGAAGGGTTGTCTGTTTTTAATCTGTTTTTAACCAGTTTTCTTTTATCCATTACATGTAGCTTGCCCATGTTATTGTGATTGTGCTTATTGTAATCTTATATTGCTATGTTGTCATTGTTTTATGTAATTGCATTATTATTGTTCATTATTTGCATTTCCAGTTTGATTTTATGTAATTGTTGTTTTGGGATTGGCCTCATGTAAGCCACATCGAGTCCCCATCAGGGAGGTGGTGGTGGGGTACAGATTATTATTATTGTTATTGTTATTATTATTATTATTATTATTATTATTATTATTATTATTGTCATGTAGAAGATGAAGCAAGCTTTCCCCCCTGCTGCTCCAGAGATTAGAACTGGAACCAAAAATGTCCCCTGAACTATTAGGAAAAACATTGTAATGGTAAGAACTGTTCAACAGTGGAACAGGTTTCTCTGGAGTCTGGTTGATTCGCCTTTGGATGTCATTAAGCAGAGGTTTGGGCTTCCTGGTGGCGCAGCAGGCTAAACCACTGAGCTGCTGAACTTGCTGACCGAAAGATTGGTGGTTTGAATCTGGGGAGTGGGGTGAGCTCCCACTGTTAGGCCCAGCTTCTGCCAACCTAGCAGTTCGAAAACATGCATCTGTGAGTAGATCAATAGGTACCACTTTTGGGAGAAGGTAACCGCACTCCATTCAGTCATGCCAGCCACATGGCCTTGAAAATGTCTACAGATGATGCTGGCTTTTCGGCTTAGAAATGGAGATGAGCACCACTCCCCAGAGTCGAAAATTACTAGACTTAATGTCAGGGGAAACCTTTACCTTAAGCAGAAGTTGATGGCCATTTTAAGGATTGTTTCCCTTGTATACAGGCAGTACACAAAATAGATTATGTAGGTTTATTCTTAAGTTGAATTTGTTTGTAAATTGGAATGGGTACCTTTTAAAAAAACTTACCTAGCATTGCCTGGGGAAGAATGCGAGGGAGCCTGTCATCAAGCTCCCTCCCTTCCTTCTTAGCCAAAGCTTTGGTGAGGGGCAAGGGTACCTGAGCAGAAACCAAGGCTCCCCAGTCACAGCTGAAGATGAGGTTTGCTGCCTCCACAGATTTGTATCTGTGAGTCGGATGTTCGTAACTCTGTTTTTTATGTGGCCACCTTTTTGCTGCTTCCCAAGAAAATACAAATAGTCCGCAAGTTATAAACATCCAACTTGCAAATGACTGATAGTTAAAAATGGGGGAAAGATAGCAGGAAGTGAGAGAAATCTACTTCTAGGAAGAAAAATTCACTCCTGTAAGAGTTACCATGGGGAAAAGTGTCTCCAGTAAAACTTTACCACCAATTCTTGTTTCCACAACAAGCCAAATTTTTCAAAATCTAGTGATCACGGGGACAGAAAGTGAGATGAAATCTTCTGAACAGGGGCATGGACAGCCAAACAAATACCACAAGGGTATTATCCCATCCCTATACTATCCAAAGCTTAAAAAGATATATTTTCAGCTGAAGTTACACTTCAAAAAGTAACTGTTCTGACTTATATACAGATTCAATGTAAGAACAAACTTACAGAACCTATATTGTTCATAACTTGGGGACTGCTTTTATTTGTCCTTCTTAGACCCCCTTCTGTACTGCCATGTAATCCAGATTATCAGAGCAGATAATCCACATTATCTGCATTGAACTGGATTATATGAATCTACACTGACTTATAATCCTATTCAAAGCAGATAATCTGGATTGTATATGGCAGTGTAGAAGGGGCCATAGAGGCCTCAAAGAGTGTTAATTCACCTTTCAAACAAATTGCAGCTCTCATTGTATTGCTTAATATCAAAACATCCATTTTTCAAGAGCAAAAAAAAATGTAGGATGGTAATTTGTGCAGCAGAAAATAGATCTCTGTTATGCATCTCAGTTGTGCATCTCATTATAGTGCACAGAACTGACGGTGCTTTTACAAGATTTGAAATGTGGATGTCTCTAATAATGGCTCAGATGAATTCCTGGAGGATAAGGCTACCAAATGCTACCAGTATTCATGGCTATATTTAGCCTCCAGGAGGAGGATATTGTTCTGTTTATGTCTTGAACTTCCCAGAGAGGTTTGACTGATTGCATTAGCAAACAGGATGCTGGGTTTGGCAGTCATTGGGATGAGCCATAAGTATTCCTGGTTTTTTTTTGTTCTGTTGTTGTTGTTATTTTTACAAAGTAACTCTTTACTGTACTTCATTTTAAGTAGATATTTTGTAACATTGCATTTCATTCATTTTTATATATCTTTATTGACCCAAATAGGAATATATTTGAGACTGATTTTAGTAATATTAAACTAAACCAGAGCTCTCACAAGTAACTACATTTCGGAACGTCAAATTTGGAAAGAGATTTAAGGAAATGCATAACCAGCACAGTACAAAGAATTGTGTCAGTATGATGGAGATTTCTTAGCAGGTCAGATATAATAATACATACACTCAAATCTTTACAGGCACATTCCATTCTCCTCCACCTCCCCCCTCATTCCCCACCAGTCTAAGTTCAAATCTCATTTTTTGTTTTTGCTTGAAACTTCTGAAACTATTCGGGCTTCAGAATGTGCTGGGTGTCTTAATTTCTATCTTTTATTTATTTATTTATTTATTTATTTGGTACACTTGTATACCGCTAATATCTCAGCCTGGAACGGCGACTCATTGCGGTTTACAGCAGTTAAAACAATCTACAATTTAAAAACATATACACATACAATAACAAATTATTGGGCCACCAATAATAATCCCATATAGCTCGAGTTAAAATCACAATCCAGAGTTCGTTGTCCAAGTTTCCTGTCCTTAGTCATCAATATTCGAATTGCCACAGATTAGCCGAATGCTTGTTTGAACAGCCAAGTTTTGAGTCTCTTCCTAAACACCATCAGCGAAGAGGCTGATCATACCTCTATAGGGAGGGTGTTCCAAAGCCGGGGGGCCACCACAGAGAAGGCCCTGTCTCTCGTTCCCGCCAGCCGCACTTCTGAAGCTGGAGGGATAGAGAGAAGGGACTCTCCGGAAGATCTTAGGGTCCTGGTGGGCTGATAGACTGAGATACGTTCGGATAGATAAGTTGGGCCAGAACCGTTTAGGGCTTTAAAGGCCAACGCCAGCACTGTTCTGGTTAAAATAAAGGGCATAATCTTGAGGTTGGAAGTTTGTTAAGACCATGCAATGAAAGGCAGGGACAAAAGTCACTTTCAGCAATGCCTGGGAACCCACAGGTTGAGAACCACTGGCATTGTCCAAGTAGCTGCAATAATATGAAGAAGGTCTCTGTTTCCCAATAGAAACAGAGCCTAAAAGTGCCAT